ATCCCTCGCCCGCACCGCTTCTCGCCGCCCTCATTGGCCCGGGACGGCGAACCGCGGCCAGTGGGGGCCGCGATCGGCCGAACCTGCCGCATCAGCAGGTAAATAAACTGGCCCGGCCTGCCAGAGTGCTTACCCTGGCGAGCCGCGTGCCAAACATTGCCGACCCCTGTTTTATTGAGTAATATTTGTTCTGTGTTTACCAGGAGCAAACAGTCTAGTGGATGAGTGTTTAGCATGATGAACAGTGTTTGGAATTAAAAGCTGAATGAACAGAGACACTATGAAAGCTGCTATTTTGCTCAAAATGAATGTTAATGTCGCTTGTTCAGTGTTTCATGATCCACTCAATCAGACACAAAACTACTGGAAAAAGTCCTCTACCTTGAGAAATGCACGTATTTTGCTAGTGAATCAGAAGATGGCACTGGCAACATCAGCATCTGTTGGGTTTTTTTTTAAGAGGCCACTTTTGTCTTTATATAAATTTCATCACAAAAGTTTTTGATTTTAAAAATATGGTCACTTTACTTTCATCCTGAATTTCTGCTGGATTCTGCAGGGTGATTGCTGCTTGGGAACCAAGGTGGGAGGAGTACTAGTGAACATTCCCTGGCAATAACTGCTTCTCACCCACACTTTCTTGTTTACTCCTGGTAGCCTAACAATTATGGTTTGTCTAAATCCTTAATCATAACAACAACTTCTATTCAGGCCTAATTTGTAACAGTCAAAGCATATGTAGAACATACTGTGACCCTTCTCATGTTCACCGCAATGTGGGGGATTATTTCCCATTGTTTCCTTTCTGCATGTGAAATTAGTTTTCTGGATAGTTTTCTGTGTGTTCTTCAAACAAGTTCAATTGAGTCATATTTCATTTTTATAAGGTGCAGTCAGGAGGGGATTCTCTCTTCTTGTTAGGGGAAGTATATAGTGGGGTCAGACACAATGAATAAAATCAAAAGAACAGACTAGTGATGGGCAAACAGGTTTGGACACCATAAGAGTCTATCTGTATTTCACTTGAATCAGTGGTGTTGTAGCTGTGTTGGTCCCAGAATATTAGAGAGACAAGGTGGGTGAGGTAATATCTGTTGCTGGACCAACTTCTGCTGGTGAAAGAGACAAACTTTCAAGCTCAACATGACCTGAAGAGGAGCTCTGTGTAGCTCGAAAGTTTCTCTTTCACCAACAGAAATTCGTCCAATAAAAGATATTACCTCATTCACTTTGTCTCTCAGGCTTGAATTATATAACATTGCCCCTGAATTTCAGTCTGTATGAAAACCTGGGGAAAGGGGCTTATTCTTTTTTTTTTTTTTTTTTTTTTTTTTT